AAAACACTCTTTTTCATTCAATTTTAAATAACAGTAACAACATCTTGAAAAAAATAAATCATATCAATAGATAATATAACGCGATTCTCGCTATAGATTTTTTATTCCGTACATGTAAAAAAATCGCAACTCTCATCACGTTAAATTAATAAAAAAAGACAACGATTGCGTGGTAAATGATGATAATTCTTGCATTTTTGGAGCAATAGAGAGTCTCGGGATATAGAAGACGCCAAGTTAGCCGGCGCGATAATATATGAGGTAATTTTCCCGACAATATTCCCAGAAATTTATGAGTTATTAATTTTGTGAACCTTCGACTATCGTCGTATCTAACCGGGCGGCACGTGTCATCTTTACGTAATATCTCTATTATGATTGACTGCTTTTCCGTACGTTCGACAACTCGCAGGCTTCGTTCGTTATTGCAAACTCGTCGAGTTCCAGTTTTACTTCATTGGCACTTCATTATATTCCGTTATGCGTAAAATAAGTTCATTCAAGTCGGAGTATATTTACGATTGTGATTGTTGCATGTTATATCGTATCTTATATTATTATAATTTACATATATACTGAACTTGAATAAACAATTATATAAATAAGTTTCAATTTTTAGGATAAATTTAGGATAAATTTAGGATAAATTTAGGATAAATTTATACTTTATATATAAATATATAAAATATAAATTTATATTTATTTTATATAAATAGATATAAATTTATATAAATTTCTTTTATATAAATTTTATTTATATTTTTATATATTTATTTATATTTTATATAAATTTATATTTAAATTTTATTCTTAAAAATATGAAGATTCACTAAAGATCACAGTAAATATTTTTTCTCTTTGTATTTCTTTCTGTATTGACATTAATTAACCAACCTGCCATAGCGAATAGCCATAGGAAATGTTTTTTTAATAACGAATCTGCGCGAAACATTGGGAAAATTCTTGTAATATTAAATATTAATAATAGTAATATTAATACGTGTGTGTATAAAATGGCAGTAGATCTTGATTCGTATTTATTAAGAACCACGTGTCCAATCAGAATCACATGCCAGTTGCATTTTAATTTCCACAAGTAAACATGAAATAAATGGAATAAATGCTCGATATTCTAACGAAAGCGAATCGAAAGCGAACCTCGAACCAACTCCGTTAGATCGATTTTATCAATTCACCCAGCCTATAGCGTTGCATGTTTTTTCTGCAAAGTTGATTTATGCATAAAGTGCAAATTAGCAGTGTATATGTAAATATTTCTGTGTATTCTAACCTTGGATTTATTTTTTTTCCTCTTCTTTTATATCAAAAGCTAAACTCATCATTTATATATTAAACTTTTTTTTTAATATCTTATCGAGAGAATTTTAACATATCTTTGATGAAAATAATTATCGTTGCTCTGATTTGAGAATTAAAAAATAAACAGGTCACAGCGATATATATATATATATATATATATATATATATATATATCGTTTATTTTTCAATTCATCAAATTTTTTTATTATAAAGATTGTAAAATAAAAAATTAAGATATAAAAATTAAGATAGAGTTCGCAGATAAACCAGTATTACGTACTAACATCTGTGAGCAAACACACATTTGATCCCCCGATAAGAGGAATAGAGCGAGTTTCGATCCTCCCCGATGAATAGGTCTTATCGAGTTGTATACGGCTTTGGGGCATCATTATGTATCGTTCAACGCCGCAATAGCGACATACGTAGTGCGCTGTCTATTGACTCTTGTTTGTGCAGCAGTATTATATATCGTTGGCTCATGTCATCAAGGGAAGAGTGCGAAAGGAAGAGTTGGTTCTATCTACGTATCTCTTATTCGCGAAGGGTTGCGAGATTACACGCCTTCAGATATTGTATTCCCATCTCTCTATCTCTTACACCATCCCGAGGGTTAATCGGCGCGTTGTCCTTTATTTCGAAGTAATGTTGCGTGATAACAAGCAAAGTTGGTTTGACTAAGAGCTAAACTCAGCGAGAAGAATTATCGATATAATTGACAGGTTTTTAAAGATTTTTAAAGAGTACGAAATAATGGATGTGAAGTGCTGAATCATTCAAAGCTCCATGATTATTTAATAATTTCAACTTATTTTTCCTCTATCGTAAAGTATCACGGATTATTTTTTTAATAATAATATATATTTCAACAATATATAAAATTTTAATGTTTTTTAATAATATTTTGTAAGATATTAATTTCAGGCTTAATTAGAAATAGAAATTTAAGTTGGAGGCTTTTAAAGAGATATAAATTGTAAATTAAATTGTAAATTAAATATTTAATTATTATAATGAATATTATATAAAAAAAATTATATAAAAAAATTAATACAGTTTAATATTCAATGGAAATTGTATAATATTATTATATGACTTTGTGAACTCTATTATACTTCGATCTTTTCCCTGCAATTTTGCAGCAACGCCATTGCCATCGCTGCGTCGAACGCTTTATCTTGGGGTAATGTTGCGTGATAACAACGAACGGGTAAAATCGTCCCGTTGGGACGATTATTAGTGCCGTCTGCAGTTCCGTAAAGACTGGCAAGTCGATAAGAAACTTATAGAGAGCCGCGTATTATTATTTCGATGGGATATTTTTATTCGAAAATTTGATTGCATATTAATGAATCCAATTCTTGTCGCGTTATCTTATCGCTTTTATACACAACATTAATATTTATTTTTACTTTCTGCCTTTTTATTCAAATGAAAATGCTTCAAAAATATTTTTCTATTATTTAATCTTATTTAATTATTATTTGATTTTTTGTATTACATATTTTTCAAAGTATTGATTGGTAGCAATTTTATTGCTCGAGAATTGCCTATACTAAATTTTATAACATACGCAAAATATCTTATTTGTGTATTTGCAATAAACAATAAATCATCAGAGAAGTAATGGCAAATGCAATTGTTCAGAGTATCTTTATTATCTCTGAGCTTGTTTATTTTCAAAAAAATAATATTCCAAACGGTCACTTGAGGCAAGGAGAAGAGTGGCTTTAGTCAGACAGAGAAAGTTCTTTTTGTCAACTTATCTTTTGCGAATATAATAAACGCGATATAATAAAATACATATCACAAAGTGGTGGAAAACTGAAGAAGATTCAAAGGTATAAAGAAAGAGGAGTGTTCAAGATTGGATACGACTTATATAGCTTGACTCTTTTCAGTGGTTTACCATCGCTCGTTGGTTTCGTCTGTCGAGTGTCGGAAAAGGATGTGCAATAGGAGCAAAGAAAAACAAGTCCGTCGAGCAGAGAATCACCGGGAGCAGTGAAAGATGAATAGAACTGCTGTGCTCCTGCGCTTTGCCGAATGATGCCGCCTGGTCTCGACCAGCGGTAAGCAAGAATAGCTACTTGTGAAAAATGGATTTCAATGTGGGTTCAACGATTGCTTCGACAAAAGCTAACAATACTACCGCTTTCGGCTTTTCGCATTTGTTATTCCAATTATGTTAGAAAGACTGTCTGTTTCGTTATCGATTGATGTAATTCTCTATCGACGGATGCTATAAATGCAATATTCAACTCGATATTCAGTGAGAGATATTTAATTACGGCAGATTCTCTTGGAACATTTTTAGAAACCTTTCCAGAACGTATATACGGTATACATATATATACATATTTCGGATACTTCGCAAGGAAATAATAATAATTGAATATAATTGATTAATATAATACATCATTAATGATACATATTTAATGACAGAAATATTTTTAATGATGATTATAACTAAACACCTCTCTTTAATTAATAAAATGATTAAATAAATTTCAGGGATTATACATACAAAAATTATAATTCATCTAATCTCTCGAAATAACAGATTTTATATAAATAAAATGTGATATTTTTTTACTAGATGGATATTTTGTTGAAATGCTGGTTGTTCACAATATTTTTTTTTTTAACGCAATATGGATATTGAGATATAGAATAAATATAAATGCAAGTAAACCGACATGACAATATTGATCCTCTTGAGCGGCAAGACTCTAGTTTCTGCGTTATCTTTCTGTCTATTGAATTTCGTTGTATCTTTTTGATAAAAGTTATTGAGGGGCTTTTTCTCTTATCGAAATTGCATTTTACCCGTTTGCAATATACCTGTCAATTACACATGTTTTCTATTTTCATAAGATTTGAAGATTTTTATATTCATATAAAAGGAACATATAAAAGAAATCCGATGATTGTCTTTGATGCTTCTGTAGTGAATATTTATTGCAAACGGAAATATCACGTACGATGACGTTCTGTAATCATGTTTGAAAAAAATCGAGACGCTCGCTTATTAAAATTTTCATGGATGTAGTGTAAAAAATTAAACGAATTGCAGTAGTATTTTCTATCCTGAATTTTCTGTGCTCCCAGTCGTGCATATTATATATAAAATGTTTTACGCGGGATGAGTAAAATTTCAGAGTAACACTGTTAAAAGGCTGTTATGCGGGGGAGAACGCTATCTCCGTAACGATCGATTTCCTTGAAGCGTGAATTTGCGTACCATCACCGACGGTTTTATCGTGGCTGCGATACGGTGGTGGTGAGATGGATCTAGAGGGTGGAAAATGGCAGACGAGAGATAGAACTCGTTCGGTTTTATAATTTGACACGAAATTGCTCACTTCCGGCATGGTTATATACTTACGTCGATGTAATTGCATACTTACAGTAGTGGCTTTCATCGTCAGGGCTCTTCTATCGGTTTTGATATACAACAATGGCTTTATATCATGGTGTCTTACACACAACAGATTGTCGTAAAAAAATATTTAATAAGATGCGAAAGGATGAAGGTGCACTTAATATTTAATTTGAAAAGGTTTCTTTAATCTGAACTACTTGAGATTACAGAATCTTTGGCAGACAATTGTCAAAATGTGCACAATAATAAATGTTACTTTATAAAAAAGTTAATTTATTTTTTGTTATTTAAAATATGACTTATATCTCACGTTATTAAATACAGCCAATTGTTTTATACAAGTTTTATCGTAAAAAGAAGTTTGTATGATATTTGCGAAGAACAAAAAAGGGTGACAAAGATAAAGAGAGAGAGGATTACACGATTCCTGAAATAATTGCTACTTTATTATATACGAATACCATTCATACGTCGCAAGTGAAAAATATTATGTATTCGAAGATCGAGAAGGGAGCCCGCTTATTTTCTCGACACATTTTATTATGTAATATAAACTTATGTGTTATACATCGCTACATATGCTTCGGCTTAATCGCTAGTCCTATCTGCTATCCTTACAGGGCTAGAATGCACAGTGACTTGTACAGAATAATCATCATGGCACTCCGCTTAGCTCCTCCATTAATCTGTCATTGATTTGTCATTGTCACGTAGACCGGAAACGCGCGAAAGAGGAAAGGAAGAATATGTGCATTTTTATATTTGAATAAATGTTCAATAAAATGAATGCAAGACGCGCAAAATATAAGCAAGTTGTCCGATTTATCATATTATTCTTTCAATAATAAAAAAACAAATCGTATATTTGGCGCACAAATTAAATAATTAATTTGCAAAGTCAGGGTGAATTGGAGCAATCATAATTAGATGATAAAGTATACAAAAGATATTTGTGATATTCAGATTGTATCCAAAAGGGAAAAGTTTTGCGATCTCGAGCTCAATTGAGGAATACAAAGAGAAGAATCGCATTTCAAATTATCATGGATCTTGTTATAAATGAACTCTGTGATTCAATTGCACCGAACTCAAATACCTCTGTTCAACGATAATGATTTTACAGTGACTTGCGTCGCTTTTTTTCAAGAGTACACTCGATCCTTTCCTCTTTCCGTGTCACAGAAGCCCCCGTTTCTCACGAAAGCGTTCCCGTTTAGTTTACAAAACGTTTACCCTTAATGCATCTAAAACTGCGAGACGGCAACGGCTCGACCCTCTTTCCTATATATATATATATATATATATATATATATATATATGTATATATCAGAAAAAATGAAGAGAACGGCACTCTCTCTCTGTCTCTCTCTCTTATCGTTATACGGTATTGTTCCAAGATTTTACAATACGCCGGTTGGATTTCCGTCTCGGGGATTAACTCGATCCGATATTTCACTTCGACCGCGCGCTCCCGCCGCCAGCGACGGCTTCCAAGGGATTCTCTCCGGCAAAGATCAGCCGCTAATTATCGCGGACGAACGGGTTTTAACGAAATAAGAGAGAAAGAGAAAAAGAGAGACAGAGAAAGAGAGAAAGTATCATAAGTACCGCCGTAATTAAGGTTGTATCTTCGTCTCGTGCGTTTTTCTATATCTTCGGCTCAAAAGATAAACCGAGAGTTATACATCTTTTATATAAATTGCGTTTTATATTAATGATTTTAAGAGAAATTCTTTCACAAAGTCGATCCTTTCTCAGGGAAAATTTCGAGAGTCGTCATGTTTCGTTTGTACTCAGTTTTATTATGTAGCTATTATTCTGATTGCGACGGCTTTTTGCCTGTCTCTTCCTTGAGAGATTTGCACAAACGATTTCAACAACTTTAAAATTGAAAAAGAAATCTGAGCACAAGAGAGAAAGAGAGAGCGAGAGAGAGAGAGAGAGAGAGAGAGAGGGAAAGGGGAGGGGAGAGCGAGCAAAGATGATTATGTAAAAAAAATATATCTTACTCTACACGAGTATTGTCGAAAGGTGTTGCGCAAATTTTTCCCACTTTCAAGATAATTATCGAAGCGTTCTGAGATGCTAAGCGGCAATTTGAAAACTTTTACACGTAATCGACTCCTCTCACCATCTTTATCCGTTATTATTGCGACGATTAGCCTTTCATTTCAGTTTCAGCGCTATGAACAAACGGAGATGGGTACAGACATTACGCAAGTGTGGCATGGGAGTTTGCACAGTACGCTATATTCTTCGCTCGTACCATTATTTTTCATAGCGTGCTTATTTTAAATTTCGCTAGAACCAACACAACAGGGAAATCATTATTGTTGTGTCACGTCGAAATTGATTTTGAAAATTTACAGTTAGTTATTTTCTTTTATTATGGTGACACATGATAACGGACACAATTGCGCTTTCCATTTTCGAAACATATGATTAAAAAAAATTCAAATAAAAGAAGATTGTATAATTCGGTTAAAAAAAATTGTATAATTACAATACTTTAGCTACGTAAACCTCTAGTCTCGCCACGTGTTTAGCGCTAAACGCGACTACGCAATTTTTGCAAATTAAATGGCAATTATATTATTTTTAAAATTTAATTTAATCAATCATATATCGATCTATTCACGATCGAGCATTTAGCGCTGAATATCCGATGAGAATAGTGGCTATGGACACTAATAAACATGAAGGACAAGCCGTGCGTCGACAATATATACGTCGCGTGCGGAATTCAACATTGAGTTACTTTTAGATCCATCCCTCTCTATGAGATGGCTCGAATTCTTAGTTCGTTTCTTACAAATGAAGCTTCGCGCATTCTTCGCAACCAACGCCGAATTCCGCATCGCGGACGCGATTAATACGGATCTAATAATTAACGAGTGTTACAATTAGACGTTAGTTATTAATTATTATCGTTAAATTTATGCCTAAGATATAATACACTCACCTAAAACGTACCTGATGATATCTTTGTAAAAATTTCCCTATCACGTCACGAGAGAGAAACAAATAGACTGAAAGAGAGAGAGAGTGAATGGGAGCGGAGAGAGAGAGGGAGGAGGGAAGAGAGAGACAGAGAGAAAGAGAGAGGGGGAACCACTCTCGATGACGATGGAGAAAAAAAATCGTTTTTGCGAAACACCCGCTCTATCGGTTCCTGCTTTATTCCACGGTGTTCTCCATCGAGCGAGGAGACGCTTTGCGAAAAACACTCACGCGATTTTGTCTGGGATTTTGAAAATCTGTACGAGCTACCTTGTCTATACGAGTGCGCTGAAAATCGCTCTTACGCTTTTTTTTTCTTCTCGCGAGATATTTTAACTTTTTCGATCATTGCACGACATTTCGAAAAAAAATTGCAAGCGTATCTTGCAAATTCTCTCGAAAATGGAATTCTTTTGCGAACAAAAAAGTTATACTCTATAAAGATTAAACTAAATGTAAAATTCCAAGCGTAGAGATAAATAAAAAAAGAGAATGTACAATTACGGGAAGATATAAAAAGATTCTTTTTTTTAATCAAGAAAAAGATCTCATTTAGATCTTAAGTTAATTATTAACTTTATTTGTACCTTGTTTAAAGAGGATTTCATCGCAAATCTCTCGCAAACAACCGTTTTCGTTTCGCGATAGAAAATAGCGGGCCGATAAAAACTTCGCTTTAAGCTATGTACGAGGTTCCCAGAAACATCGGTTTAATTTCAGCGAGACTATGGTATGGCACGCGACGGTTAAATTTCACCGGAGAAATTCTCGCACCTGAGCGTGTAGTACACGTCGATCATTCGCGGTATATTATTTGTACCGGCGATTAAACTATCGGTTTAATTGCACGTAACGTTTTTCTTCCGGAAAGTTGGGTCAATTTTCCAATTATGCCGAGGTTCATTTCTACCCTCGATCGCGTGCAAAGATCGAGGCGTGTTATCGCCACGTTCCACGTTAAGCTCGTTTTCGACGCGAGTTGAAATCGCGAATTAATTTAATTTTCAAGGCGAGATTCTCTCGTTAAACTAATATATAGATCGAGGAAATCTATACGTGTGCATCCATACATCTTTGGTATCTTTATAATCTCAGACGTGTCGATATGACTAGAGACACATAGGTAATTCGCCCTGTATTAGTGAGATGTTGCAGGTAGATACATGATTTTTTTTCTCTTTTCGTTTTTCATTGTAACTTCACCATAACAAATTCGACAAACACACTGCTCGATTGTTCAATTACTTTGAAAAAAACGAAACACGCTCCGACGAGTGAAAAACGAGCTTCAAACGCATTTTAGTGATACACGTGGAAACGCGATACGAGTTAGCTATTCGGATTTCTCTTTGGCAATCTTTATGTTTTCAATGTTCGGGGGTTTGCGAGCAAGGATACATATGTATCGCAGGGTAACATCAAATGACGATAAATGAGTAATAAATAATGAAGGTATAAGACTCGAAATATAAAATTAACAAATTAGTTTCAATAGCAATACGAGTCGAGCGTCGATGTTATGACACATTTATTTATTTATTATACAATAAAAAGCATGAATTAAAAATAAAAATAAAAAGAAGGAATAGCGAAACCTATTTCGACCCTATTTTTGGGTCATCTTCAGCGCAAATATGATGGCGTGGTAAAAATATAACAAAGGAGTTACATATCTGAATCGATGAGATAGGATGCCGTCCAAAGTAATACTAAATGTCTCGGTATCTCATTATCTTGATAAATGAGTAAAATAAAATCGCCGAGTAATCATGCTTCTCCGATTATGTAATAATCGCGAATATCGTGATTGCTTTGAGCCGCATCAGAAATACATCGTGCATGATCGTTTGCGTCAACATACGTAGTATCATCCGGAATCTTTCAAATAGCCCTTTATTTCCTTAAGATATCAGTTACCGTTTACGAAAATTTTTCTGTAATATATATTGTCAAATCACACACAAATCGCCCTCTAAAGCATAGCCCATAGTGGTACATTTCCAGCGCCAAGTCGATATAAAAGATATTCTCCAACTCGTTCAACCTTACGTCATGTTCTCCGTTTTAATTTAATTTCTCATACGTCACGTCCGTCCCGTTTGCGTGCGCATTTCTCGCATAAATCGCTCCTCACCCGCCTCGTCCGCTTGCCAGCGCGACCTCTCGTCCGAGAGCGAGTCACTTTGGTACACGTGTTCGTGAAAGGAGACCCCCGACGATGACTACCAATGGTAGTCGATGATCGGTTTGCTCTCCGAGCACGGGTTGACGCTGCCGCACCACTTGGTCTCCTTCAGCGGGGGACACGGGGTGCCACCTCGGCGCGGCTTTATCGTGACCTTCCGCGTCCTCTGGGTCTCGCCCACCCCGCAGCTGCGACTGCACGCGCTCCACGGACCCCATTCGCCGACCTTGCAATCTCTCGGTGCGCCTGGAATCACGAGTGCAATTATTCCGCTCGAGCGGGTCTGCGGATCCACGTCTAATCTCGCGACGTGCAGGGAAATTGTTGAACTAAATGACTGTGATAGGTGACCGCAACGAAAATGGAGAAAGTTCTAGCTTTAAAGAGAAGTCTCTTAAATTTTACCCTGATAACTCTCTTGAAGACTAGGTTTGGAAAAAAATCAATTTTTAAATAGTATTTATAGAATTTTTAAATAGTATTTATAGAATTTTTTTAAATTTTAATTAGCTTAAAATCGAAGAATCATGCAGTAATGTTTCTCAAGTCTCGACTAAGATTGTCTTCGAAAAATCACAACTGAAGCGATAATCCTGAGATTAAATTACAACAAATATTAGATTTATGCAAACATAATAATCAATTTTCTCACTCTTTTCTTCTTTATCTTTTAAAATTAAATATTTATTAATTTTTGTCATTATCTTGCAATTTGTTAGCTATACTGTTATCAAATCAAATAATATATACCGCTATGTAAAACAGAATACAAAAATCTTGCACACTAGATCCTCGCACGCGAGGAAAAGGCTGCATTCACTTGGCACAGAAACCAGAACGGCGGACAAACGCGAGACAGAAAGGGTGGAGGCTACAACGCGGATGTGAAAGACGAAAGAGAAAGAGAGAGGAGAAGCGTGGTAGTGCGCTTTGATCATTTACGCGGGAAATATGGCTATTGAGAGCGCTCGGTTCTTTTGCATTAGCTACCGTCAGTGAAAAACTGCATCGAGGGTTTTGTTCGGTTCTCCCGTTTTCGTCATGTCTATTAAAAAGTTAATTAGAGACTCGATTAGATAGCAAAGGCAAAAATATCAGCGAGGGATCGAAAAACATTCTGAATTATGGTCCGTAATCATTCTTTGTCGGATTAGCGATGATCAATAGGGGTGGCTATCGATCGCGTTGCCTCGATATAGTGTCGTTATATCACATAAGATACCATATAAGGTACAAAAAGGCCATGAAAAATATATCATGCAATAAATAGTATTATTCTAAGAAATATAGCTTTCTACTGGATGCACATGATAAAACTTAACATCGCAGGTGACACGATTTGTATTCTGAAATTCTTATACCCACGTGTTCTAACTCGCTTGCCCTTGGACGTCAGCCCGTGATGCTTCATCCTGAGTCTGTGCTGGCGCGGATCCGCCAAGTTGGTCGCGTTGCTCGCGAATGAATAACCGATACTCGATACATTCGACGCGTTCGCAATCTTCCTCTGGATATCCTCGTAGATCTGCGCCTTCTGCGCCTCCGCCGTTCGTCTGTAAGTCTGATAATACGGCCAATCGGATCTTCCTGTCTCGCTGTACTGTCTCGTTTTATCACCGTCGACGGTGATCTTCGAAGTCCGCGGCATCGGGGTCGCGTTGTACCTCGGTCGCTGCCACGAGGCGTACGACGAGGCGATGCTGTTGATGATCGCCGCCTTGTTGTCGCGCGGAACGTCCGTCACGATCTGCTGACCGTTCCCTGTCGTGCTCCAGTATCTGAAGTCAGAAAAACATCAAGAAGACACGTGTCATTAGATCAGGTAACTCCAGCAATTTCAAGGTATTCCCGCTCTATACCTCCTATATCGATCCTCGGGAAGGGGACTCGAGGGAGACCGCGATGTTCACAGGAGGAGCCGAATATAAATTAGTTCATTAAAATAAAATTGAGACTTTTTAATTAAAAGACTCTGGAATTCGGAAATTAGAAATTCGCTAAGTCTCGAAAACTTTCGCGATGCGAAGGTGGAAAACGCGTGTACGTGTGCAATTCCAATTTCGCCATGCACCCCCCGACGATTATTTACGTCAATATGGCGTTTCGTTAATATTATTCGCGTGTAATTGTTATTCGATGCGCGCACTTTGACGACGCATCGGGCAATGCTTTAACGCGAATCGGCAGAATTTCCATTACTATGTCCTGTCCATATACTCGCAATCAATACTCGATGAATATACATGGAGTCGGTCGGCGCGGTGCAGCGAAACGCCACAGTGTAGACAGCGCCTAGACAGTAATAAGTTGGACGAGCGTGTTAGGTAGCAATTACTAAATGGAACTGGCCAGGTATTAGTGGCGCACTGAACTTGTCGGACGCCATTTGCCAAACGTATACGTATTACTTGTATGAAGCACGAGATATGATGCCGTGCGAGACAAAGTTGAAAATTAATTATTTCCAGGAGAAAGTAAAATTCGCGAATTTATCAATAATAAAAATAATTTGATTTGAGTTCTGCCAGTCGATTTGTCGACTGAATTTAACTGGCCAATAATTACAGCTGCGTTGCACAACTTACGATTTTATTATATATAATAAATATATTTATCGATAAATTTAAGTATCGTTGGACTACGCATTGATATTCGGCCTTTGTAAAATCATAATTATTGTTTATTCGAGAAAGAGAGAGAATATACGTACAATTAAAATATTATAAAAGCATGTACATTGTATTTAATTATAATTAACATTTTTATTTGAAAAAGAATAATTAACTGTATAATTAAAATAATATAGTGGCAGAATAATGACTATATAATCTTGAAAAATATAAAATGTAATTAAAAATAATTCACAACGTGATGTATACATATAATAATGACACAAAAGGAAATAATAATAAAAAATAAAAGAAATGTAACGTATTATTTTATATTCTCTCTCTTTTCTCGTAATATATTAATAGATTCTACCTCTAATATCAGTTAAGGCTTGAGTTTACTAGTTGTTCACTAGTGCATTGAGGCTGGCACTTCGTTTACACGACACCTTTCTCTAGATTTTCGCCGCTCGAGCGCGCCGGGATGGAATCGGTCGTTCATTATGGACCGTTTCTACGGGGGTTTTCGTCGTAGTTTTCGTCGGTACGTGCACTCCGACGAATCGAATTTAGCGAGCGCACTTGGAGGCGTGTGGATGTGCGAAAACAATTTCGAAAATTGATTTACGGTTGGCATGTGGTACACATAAGAGAACAGAATCAAGGGGTTGTCCGGCAATCTCGAAACTTGCGTTTCATGCGGGGGAAACTTATTCATCCCCATTTTCTTCCCCTTCTTCTCTCACTTTCTCTCTTTCCATCTTCTCTTTCTATCTTTGGAAAAGAGACAACTTTTGCCCAAAATTTTCTCAATTCGACGTTGGATTCGGCTTTATTTTCGGCTTAAAATAAAGTTTATGACATGTAGATTACCAGTTTCAGAGAAAATGATGGCCAAATGATAAAATAAGTATTATTTATAAGGGTAGAAATAAAAATTTTTACAGGAGTGAAAATTAAATGGTAACTCGGTCCATCTAGAAACTCGTATATTATCCGTAATTTATGCGTCGTAAACTTTATTTTAAACTAAAAATGAAGTTCAACTTCGAATTGGGAAAATTTTGGGCAGTACCCTATGGATACCTGCTCGCACCTTTTTTATGGAAAATTGGCTTTTCGTGTATTTTCGCGCAACGAAATGAAAAATTTTCATCGAGAGCGTTTATTCTCGCGATCGTTGGATGTTTCCCGGCGCGAAATTGCCGAGCGCACGTGACATTTGCGATTTCATTATTATAGCGATTTGCGGTGAAAATTTGCACCGGACGCAATCGATTAGAAAATTCTGTTTAATCATGGTAATTACAAATCCCAATTGTAATTTGTGATCCAATTAAGCAATTACACTTTGCAATATGTAGGCAATGCAATCGGTGCGTATCAGTTTCGAAACGCAGCTACGAATTTGAAATTATCTAATTATCATGATTATCTTCTAATCTGTGAATCCCTCTCGTTGGCCTGCATCGCACGAGTGAATGAATGAGCGATGAAATAATTTCGTAATTAATTTTTTTCATAAATCTTAGCTACATTTTATTATTTATCAACGAATGCATGCCGTTCGAAGAACGTAACTCTAAATTGCATTCGCCGAGATAACTTCTTCTGCTATTAAAGATACGCCGACATGGCTCGTTTAGCATAACTGTATTTTCTACGTGATATTTGCATGTATGCAGATTTAGCATAAGTTTACTTTTTCCTACGCTTTAAATATTCCTCCAGAAAGTTCCAAACTTTACGGTTGGCTAAGAACTCGAGCTGGCGTAGGTCGGTATAATTTTTTAATTAAACTGACCACTGTTGCTCTGTCGTTGTCAAGCGAAAAAATCTACACAAATACGAACAAACGTGAATTTAATTCGCTCTTTACAAAATTTATTGTCATCCAATTACGAACGAAAAAGACACGTTGGGTATTTTAATTCATGGGCACTTTTAATTTCTGTTCGATCAAACGCAATTCAGAATCGAATGTCAACAATTGAATCAATCGTCCTGTTTGAGTTGCAAGGCAATTCGTGGAATTATTTTATCGCAGGGAATCGAACTCTCTATATTTAGATCTAATCGACTCGTTACACTCTACCGGACTTACGTAACGACATCGTCTCCGCCGATTATGGTCACGTCCACAGGAAGTTTGACGAAGTGGGGTAAACAGTATATGTATATCGCTGGCAATCAGTATGGTCGAGGGTGTGGAGACAAGTACAGGAAATTGTCTTCGTTATTACTTTACTTCGTAAAACAGAAGGACACTTTTCTTGGAAATGAAATTTTTCTCTCTTCCTCTCTCCTTCTCCGATCGATTTAACTCTTATTCTACTCTAATATTTTATATAAGAAAAGGGAAAGTGTGAGAAGGAAAACCTTAATAAATCTTCATTTACCGAATAATAATATCGTCTCGTTTGAGGGTTCCCCTTATCGCGTGCCGTTTGCTTTATATTGAGTTTCATTTTCCGGGCGTTGAAACTTATTGCGGGTCGTTAAATCTATAAGAAACAGACGTCGTTTCATTCCATGGCGATGGCGGAAAAGAAGATATTAGCTCTACTTTATTATATATTTTATTTATTATATATTTATTATGTATATTATATATTTATTATATATATTATATACTTATTTATTATATATTTATATATAATAAATAATATTTATATTTTTATATATTTATTTATCATATATTTTCGTCGGACGGAAGTCGAGAGGTAGTTAACAATTTTACAACGATACGATATGCAATGCCCCACGTTTTACATTCTTACTAGGGATTCTCGATCCAGCGTATATTCTCGACGCAATAATTTAATTTATGTCACGCTCATGTGTGGAATTTACAAGCGCGATGAACTTAATACGTGGTAGAACGCGATACAATGGACACCGGTGAATTAATTGCGCGCTAATGCGTTTGCATCTGACGGCAGAAAGGAGAAGTGGAGAGGGGGACTTTGAGCGTTAATGCATGCATTTCATTGTCGGTCTCTCGGATTTTCGTTCCATTATATGCGTTCTCGTCTGCGCGTCTCAATCGCGATAACGCGTAACATGCATGATTTTTAATATAAGCTGCTCTTTTTTGTCGGTATATTTTTTCAATTGTACATGAAGTATTAGGAATTGTGATTTATCGCGCGAATTTCATCAAAAGTCTCTTTCAACGGATAATTTATTTTTATGTTTCTTTTTTTTCATCTTGCGACGTGATTTGTCTCATTATTGATTAATTATTCGTCATTAAAAAAATATGCGTATGCATATATATCTCTTCGCTTTAAATTGAGAAAATTCAGAGTACAATTAAAACGTGAAAAAAAAAATAGTCTGGATTTCCGGAAAGATTCCAGAGATATATGAAATTGTCTAATACGAGTGCGAACTATGGAGATTCTCCAACGGTACGACAGTAATAGCATTTACATTTTGGATTATGCAAGCTGTTTCCGTAGTCCGGCTCGCGCGGATTATCACAGAACTCGTGAGAGATATGAAAAAATGTTTTCAGAATATTGCGGGCCACGCGCACACACATGCACCTATACACACATACATATATCTATAATATATTTAACCGAGAATTGAGGAGGAGGAGAGAGAGAGAGAGAGAGAGAGAGAGAGAGAAAGAGAGAGAAAGAGAGAGAGAGAGAGAGACACACGCAAAGTTATTCGCTGCGATATATCGTTGTGGATATTTCATATCCATCATTGACACTGATGGATTAAGATGTCCAGATCTATTTTTTGGAAACGAGACGTCTCGCTCGGACAAGCTAACTTTAATTTCTTTGACCTCGCGTGCGCACCATTGAAAAATACGCGCGTGGAAATAAATTATGGGTGGCGGGAAATAAATTACGCCGGGTGCATTACGATTGCCGCGGGTTCGCGACTCTACTCTCTCTCTCTCTCTTTCTCTTTCACCTTGCGATAAATACGGAGGCGGAATGCATCGGGTGCGATACCTAAGCACGTCGTCTGTTATAGTTACTTCTTGTTACACTCTCGCCCTCCTATCGCAGTAAATTCATTGGAACGTGCTATATGCCGAATGTTCTCTCTCTCTCTCTCTCTCTCTCTCACACTCTTTCTGTCACGAATGGTACCTATTACGTTTAGCGTGCGATAGAGATTTACGCGGTCGCGTTTGTGCTTCT